GAATGACATGTGGTCTGAAATGGGAAAACATTATGTCTTGTTGGATGCACCCTTCTTAAAATTATCTTGAATGCAAGGCTAACATGGAAATACGAAAGAAATGCCACAAATTCCAGCGAGAAAAAGTGTGATTGTCTTTTGTATTTACGTGCTGCCCTCGCATCTACGATACTTTTGAGAAGGAGGGTTGATTGGATTCATGACAGAACGCAAACAGTGAGGAAGATAGTGTCGATAGGTACCTGGCCATTGATTGGTCAAACAGTCCCAGGAACTGTTTCAATGACGTCTGGTACATGCAGTTGACGTAGGACATTTCTACGATCAGGAAATACAAGATACTACCACGTGTCGCCACTGAAATAGAAAAAAAAACACAGGTATTTTATGACCGGTTTACAACAGGTAACCCGCTAATGAAATAGAACAAATGTATAAAAAAGTAAATATATACTGTTTACTATTCTGGAACTATATCTGGATGCACTTTTGGCGATTTCACTGACGGCGATACGTTGAAATATTATTGTAAAGCGACTTAAATACACGCTTGCGCACCACGACCATGGGCGCCATCAATTTAATTAGAGACCTTTACCACGACGCTAGCCCCGCAAACCTCAAATTGTTGTTCGACGTGGGGCGTTTTCCGTCAAACTTTCAACATTTAGCAAGKCGTCATAACGAAGTTGTTYGTGGAAAAGTGGCCGCGTTTGCGGGCGTTTTTCGGGGCCTGATTCCTAGCGGTTAGGGCTAACACTATGCTAAAGGTCTTTATTTTTGTTTACCTGGTCTGAATTCCTCACGCGCCGTGTTAATCTTGATCTCCGTGTCAGCGGCAACAATGAGTTTCTGACTGACTTCTTCAGCTGTTTGCTTGGTAACACTGAGTACTTCRATAAGAGACTCGTCTTCTACAAGCGAACCCTGTGAAACATCGTAATCACAGTTGTACATCTTATTCTAAATAGACCTAATCTACTGTTCCCCTATTTCAGACCATGTGTCATTCCCTAG